GTGTTCCGTACATCTTGGCCCATGCCCTACCCAACCCACCCTTGACCCGCCCCCTCCAACTGGCTCTTCAGGTGATTCCGAATTTCCGGACAGACAGACAGACGTTGCCGTTTATATATAGTAGGATGATCCACTTTTCATCACAGGTGACAATTCGGTCCAAAAACGGGTCGTTTCTGTTGCGCAAAAGCAGTGAAGAAGAAACCTCGAGACGTGCCAATTTCTGCCGGTCACTCAAATTGTGGGGCACCCACTTGTCGAGTTTTTTCACCTTCCCAATGCGTTTCAGACCATCTGCAACAGTGGATTTGCCAACGCCTAGCTTTTCTGCAATCTCTCGAACTGTTTGGGATGGGTCAGCCTCCACAAACGCCTTCAAATCCTCGTCAGGTATTGCTTTAGGTCGACCGCTACGAGGTTCATCTTCAAGGCTGAAATCTCCAGAACGAAATTTGTCGAACCATTGTCGCACGGTGCTTTCTCCAACACTATTGGGCCCCACACTGGTTAATTTGTCGAGCTGTCTCGACTGCGGATTGACCCAATTTGTAGTTGCAAAAAACAGGGCACAGCATTCGATGGGGATTTTGGTCGAGCTTTTACGACCCCCCCCCTTTTTTCAGGGGCTGGTACGACCCCCCCCCCCATGCTCGTACGATGGCTGACATGGCTGACTGTGGTTGTGGTTTATACTCGGCGAAAAAGTTGTCGAGCGGGGGGTATGTAGTAGGCATGCGACGTACATCGTACATAGCGCTGTCAAACCGTTCTACGTAACGCGCGACTTATATTCGTCTCCAATTGAGAACGCAGAGACATAGAAATATGAACCTGTGGACAAGCTTTAGGAAGGACAACCCTATCCTACAACAACTAATGGTTTCGCGGCCGCATAATGCCTACTCAATGTGCAGACTAACCTCGAATTTCTGCTGCTGGCTGGTAGTGTTCATTTTCAACATGCAATTTTATCATGAATTGTGGGCAGAGAGGGCGGAGTTTTACGGCAGCTCGGCAGGCGAAGAATACGGGAAACGGAGGGCTAGCTGGGCTTCACTTATTTGCCACAGCTTTTCGCAGTAGTGACACCTGCACTTACGACCCCATCCCATCTACTACCTGCATGCAACATACGACCCCTTCGTCGCGGCGTTCTCGCCGGAAGGCAACTGACCCTGACTCCCCGCACCCCTTGGCTTGGCCATTCAGTTAGGTGTTTGCACAGCATTTTTTGCATAGAGCATTTTGACTCAGGATAACAAGCTCACGCATTAAGCACGCTATAACAACCAGGAGTCTCCGTTTGACTTGAGGAGTGCATCCTCTACTAGCAAAGGGTCTGGAGTAAAAGCGCCAGTGATTAAGCCAATCCATTAAAAAAAAAAAAAATCAAGCGTCCAAGCCAAGCCATTAAACAAACTTATGAAAAGCAAAATTGAATCTTCACGGGTATTCTCGCTTGCGTCACTGCTCCTACGTCTATCTCCTTCGGCGAACTAATCAGAGCCTAGCTATTTTTCTTGGCCTTGCTTAATTACGATTAGGCGAAGTAACCACAGGCGTGAGCATGAATTAGACCGTGGATTACGGTAAGGGGCGGGTCAGTGAGTTACGCAATTGGGCACGTACGTGATCTTGGTGGTAACTTTTTAAATAACATCATGGCTGTCGCAAACGAAGCGCGAGGTAACCCCTTTGAATAAGCTTTCCCGACGGCGGCCGCACGGTCGTTACGGCCTCCTTTTAATGCCGGCGGCCGAGGTAGGCGGGGGAAGCGGATTCTGGCAGGACGCAAGCCTGGGAAACAAATTTTCGGCAAGTAGGGTGTCTTTGAAGGACCATAACTTCCTCAAAAGCAGACCTATGGGGAAGGGGAAAGCGTATTCGTGTAGAGGAAGGTTTGATCTTCCTAAAAGTACTAAAATGTTCATGAAGGTGGCAAAAATCACAGAGAAATTGCCTTGGGGATTCGATGGGGATTTTTTTTCAGGAACAGGTTTGAATCAATATATTTTTTTGTAACTCAACATTTCACAAATCTGAGAACGGATTCGAGTGTATGAAGACTTGCTCTTCCTAAAAAACCTATTGAACTGTTTCTGAAGTCCTCGGGATTCATGAGATCTGGCGATGGGGATTCCTTGGGAAAAACTCCCAGCTGCGCGAAAAACCCGTTTCCTGTGTACCCGCTTCGAGTGAGCGTTGTTCGAATAACCAAGGAACGGCAATGTAGAAGCGCTATCGCTGTGGTGGGCAGGCAGGAAGGGGCTAGAATATGGTTCGTTTAGCGCCGATCACGCTGACTTTGGATGCGCCGCGCAGAGGTGATGGGATGGTGCAACTTGTGCGTAATGTCTGTCCACGCGAGCAAATGTGTCTATAGGATTCAGGGAGGTCCATGGCGAACCTGTGCACTTGTTTACAGTGTTTTCCGTTGCGTATGATGGAGCGTGTCCCTGTCGACGCCGCCAGATTCGTGCTCCGCCAATTGCTGATTCCGATAAAGGAGACCAACTGCTGGAAAACGTCTGATACGAACGATATGGTAGTCGTTTGTCGAAAAAAAACAGGTTGGCTCAGCGCCAAGCGCGATCGCGGACACGCCCCATCATCCGCAGCGAACCAGAGTATGAGTTGTAGTGTTTAGTCACTTACGAGATGATGTCGACTTTTTATTTCCAGTTATTTCAGATTAGTTTGATGAATGAAAGTTTTGTACTATTTTTTTACATATCCGAGTTCTCTACAAAGCAAGCTTCGCTGTACAGGACTCAGCACACTGACACGCTCGTTACTGGCTACCGCACTCATTACGACCCCCCCCTCTCCTGGCGGCCAAATACGACCCCCCCATGGGGATTCCCCAACCAACGATGTGCCCTGCAAAAATATCGTCCGAAGTGCTCTTTTTGACATGCTTGAAAAAATCTTGAAAAAAAGGGGTTTATCAAGCAATGGTGAAACGGCAATTATACCATCAGATAGCGCAAAAAATTCTCTTCGTACTACTGAGACGCAAGGGAGAATGAGTTTTTAATCAGCAATGAATGTACAAAAAATAGTAACACAAAACGCTGAGAACTTTCCGGACAACCTAATATTACAGATGAGTCCTGATAGATGCCGAGAGTTCGTGGTATGGAAAACTAATGTAGCGGCAGGACTTCACTATCTTGACCTGAAAAAATATTTTCTGATTGGAAGTAAGTGCAAGTAAGTATCTGACAACATTTCAATGTTATACCCCAGAGCTAGTCCTTTGAATTGAGGTTAACCTCATATTTGTGGTTACATATGACAGGTGACCGTAGGTTGAGAATTTGAGTTACAACCACAATGTGAACTACACGAAGAGTTTCTCAAGAAGTTTGGTTGCTTTGCGGATTGAGGTTAGGTGCTGCAATTGTTATGGGAAGAAGTGGTAGTAGGGACGAGCCCAGGGAGCTAAGAATCAGAAAAGCAGATGGCAACACTGAGGAAAAGATCGCTTTTTAAAAGGAAGCTTTTCTGAAGCTTCTTTTTGGTTCCAAGAGTGGTCGATGAGAACCAGCCCAAAAACAGAAGATCAATCCATGGTACTTCGTAGGTATTTAGACAGATTCACGAACTTTCCTGGGACTTTGTAGCAATAGCTGTCGGCCCCTGAAATCGAATATCGTAGCCATTTAACGCAGAAATGGGTGAGGCGGCGCGCTACTGGTCCCAGCCTTCATCAAACGATGATCATCACAGCTGCAGTGTTACTTGCGAATAGAATTGGATGTCGCAATTTGATAAATTCTTCTGTTCACACGAGGTTGGTAGGTGGAACTTTATTATGGCCTAATAATAGTTCCACCTACCAACCTCGTGTGCACAGAAGAATTTATCAAATGTAACAACAATGCCGAGGTTTTACGAATAGAGAAGTTGGTCATCCTACATGGAATGTTGTAGCAGTCTTACTATCCTTGGATTCCCTATTCTCTTCCCTCTATTCTATTCCCTTTAGTGGATTCGACTGCCTATGCGTTCCGGTCTCAGCGGGCTCTTGAGAAAAAACACTAGGAAAACATCTTCATACTGTATCCAGCAAGTCATCTCGCAAGCAAGGTTGAGTTAAAGGCAGTTGGCACGATGGTTTGATATTTAGCCTAAAATGCTAGTAAGGCGCTGTATAGTGGGGAAATGGCGAAGGAACGGGGTGGCGGGCGTTTGGGACGTAAAGTTGTGGCTTGATAGGGCCCTTATAAGGGCACCTTCCTCGGGGAAACCGCTATGCAGCGCCTGCCCAGGGTCGCGGAATTCTATCCTGCCAGGAGTATTGATCCTAGTCGTCTTGGGGGATTTATCGTGCCAACTGCCTTTAAGGTCTCAATGCGAGTGCACTGATGTACATTTCACTGCGGAATCCAAGCCGACTCTCCCTAGTTTATCAAAAAGCACATGCAGTTCATTAAAATTAGGCGTAAGGAGCGTGAGGTTTACGGTAGCCAAACAGCGCGCAAGTGGTGTAACTGCGTCCAGCAGTCCATGCGCTGGGTCCCTCTTGAATTGTTCGTGCTAGTGACAAGAAATA